TGGTGGTGAGCGGGACTTGACTTCACTGCGTAACTGTTGTTTACAATCTGCGCCAGGTTCCCGGTCGCATCTGGTACCCAGCAGTGCCCCGCATCTACCCTGTGGGCAAAAGCAGGCACTGGTGAGGTCGGGGGCTTTCTCTAGGGAGTTCAAGCTTCCACAAGAAGGAGCCGCCCGCCGTTGCTCATGCTCACTTGATGACTTCCCAGGTTTTACGACGTTAATTTAAGCTCTGCAGCCAAAGTAACTCTCTCTGGTTGCAGCAGTACACACTTAAATGTCAGAACTTTGCCGAAACGCCGCTTGGGTTTGAAGGAAGTCATTGTGCTCAGTAAAGTCTGGCCACCTTTTATGTTTATCGCCTTTATGAAGGGATCTCGCTGAGTGACTTAAACCCGCCTCTCCATATAGTTAAAGCCCAGGGCTCTTGGGTGACTGGATTCACACATTCAAATAACAGTTATTGCATGTACAGAAGATGCCTGGTGCTGGTGTATACCGTGTGGTCCTTGTCTTCCTGGAGCTGATAGTCTAGCAGGGAGGAGGGATGACCTTGAAATAATGAATACATAAATAGAAGTATTGTGAATCAGTATTATTAATAAAAAGGACAGGGCACTAAACGTACACAGAGGGGATCTCATTTAGATGGGGCGGGTCAAAGATGTTAATATTTGAGCTAGGTAACAAGTGGGAGGGGGAATTATTCCAGAAAATGGACGAGCAGGTGAAAAGGCACAGGGACAGGAAAGAACTCGGTGTGGTCACGAACCCTGTTGCCCAGCAGCCAACCAGAAGCCACGAGGCCCAGCCGTGCTGACGTGCTGTCGGGTGCGTTCGAAGCCTGAACACCAGCACGTGCCTCAGTTGTTATAAGGGGCCTGAGGCACATGAACTCTATGTAAAAATTAAGTTCTGCTCTCAGCAGTTGCTGCCTGTGCCTGTGACCTCCCTGCCTTCTTGATTACTGACCCTTGGTCTTCAGTTCTCAGCCAACCCTTTGGTGGCCACCTCCCCGGCCCGCTCTCCTCTCGGCAGCCCCACCCCTAGAATTTGCAGTGCCGAGCCTTTTTTATTTCCTGTATCTTTGCCCTCCAGAAGTGACCTTGCTTCTCTGGCACAATCCCTGCTTCCTGTAGCCTCCATCTGGTTTGGGTCTTCCCGCGTCACACCAGCTGTGCTGTGTGCCGGGCCCAGCTCCTTCTCTTACTTCCCATGCTCTGCCCCTCCCAAGCCTCCACAGACGTTTCCTAACATCATCCTCCATGAAGTCCAAACCCCAGTGATTTCCTGCCTATCCTTTGCCTACCATCCACGAGAGGCCCGCTGAGCTCAGTGCTGAGTAAGACATTTGAGAATCTCTACCCCAACCATTGGTCAGAGGAGCCGCTCGGCCCCGGGATGGGACAGCACAGGCTTCTCTTTCCACTTCGCGGTCACTGAGCAGGGTCCAGAGCAGCGGGCAAATATGCCCAACACACATCTTCTGTCCCGACGCCCAGAAGCTGTCACCCTCTCCAGAGATGAGGTCCTTTCCGCAGAGGAGTGGAGACAGCCCTGGTTGACAAGTGTTCCCAGGCTCCGGGGGTGGGGAGGAGCACTGTGGAGACAGCCCGTCTGCCATCCGTGGGCTTCGGCCAGACCTTAAGTCCTCTGCTCCCTGAAGGCGGACATGCAGGGGGAGCCAAATAGTAGCAGTCATAATGATTGTCGTAAAGTAACAGTAATGGGCACAGACCAGGGGCTCACAGTGTTCCTCGCACTATGACCGGAGTTTCCCAAGCCCACTGTCATGTGCGTTTCACAGCCGACAGGTTAGGTGGCCTCAAGTCGCCACTCAGCACACAGCAGGATTGGGATTGGCCCAGATGTCCTGTCCCCACCTCCTTGACTGCCCCCGTACAGTGCTCACGCTGGGGCAGGCACAAGGTTCGCGGATATCCTCACGCGTCTCCCTTTCCCACCGGGAGATGCTGAGGCTCGAGAGAAGGAACCGGTCCCAGGTGACACCGCCGCAGGTGGCAGAGGCGAGACCCTGGAACCCAGTTCCCACTGGCTCCAACCGGCTTTAGAGCATCACGTGCTGCTGCCAGTGGCCAGCGCCCCCTCTGCTGGACACCACTTCGCTCGTGTCTGCAGTAGGGTCTGGCGAGGAGATTAAGGACATTTTGAAAGAGGAAAGGAGGCAATGAAACAGCAGGTACAAGAGCACTGTGACCAGGAAAGACGGGCAGGGACCACAGAGCCGCAGGCTAGCCCAGCTGAAGGGGTGCAGAGATGTGACGCTGAGCTGACACCTGAGGAGGAGCCCCGGGTGCAGGTGGGGCATGAAACTGCATGCGCAGGAGCCCAGCGTTGAGAGAAAAACCTGGCCCTCTGGAGGAAGTAGAACATCTCAGCGTGGCTGTAGCAGAGTGTGTGGGGAGGAAGGCAGGAGGCTGGAGGGGTGGATGGGCTGTGCTGGGAGGTGGAGGGCGTGGTGCAGGAGGCCTGAGATCCAGTTCACACTTTTAGAAGATTGCTCTGGCTGCCGAGTGGAGAAGAGACTGGAGGAGGAAGGCAGAAGGAATCAGGTGTTCGGAGGCTGTTGCAGAGCCCAGAGGAGACAGGACTTGGTTGGCAGGAGGGTGGGGGCAGCAGGGTGGGGACAAGGGAGGATTCAAGAGCTTCAGGGTGAGTTCACCAGCTCCCTTTACTGTGTGGCCAAGGGCGTGACGCGAGGTGCTGCCACCACCCTTCCGATCACAGCGAGCAGAACCACCCGCTCTGAGGTGCATGGTGAACTGACTGTGAGAAACAAGCCTCATGGTAAAAGAGCTCTGTTATGAATCACGTTCTGTGTTGTGTTGCTGAAATATGTCAAGTGATAGCCTCCAGTTCCCGTTGTAAAAAGAATAATCACCCCGACGTTCTGTTGTCATAACATATTCACAGCATTAGCAGGCTGCCATTGAAAAATCTAAGCGAAGTGAATTGGAAATGAGCAGAATTCCGGAATGCCTGGGTCATGGAAATGAAGGTGACAGTCTGGGCCTTCTGTGGCTCACTCCCCATGCTCAGGGCCACTCTGGGTGTGGGAACTACTTCCGGCGCAGGGTCACCCTGGGGGAGCATGGCTCTTCCTGTAGCTTCAGTGGTGCCAGACAGGTCCTGTGGCCCTTCTGTACCAGTTGAGTGGTCTTGGGCAAGGGATAGCCGTCAGTCTCCGTCTCTTTACTTGGAATTGGAGACAATAACCACTACCTCATAGGGTATTCTGAAGAGTCAGCTGTATCATTTGTATGGTAGTAGCTGAGATTGATTGAATGCTTATTATGTGCCATAAGCACTTTGCATATAATAACTTTAATCTTCTCAACAATTTCATGAGATAGGTACTTTTATGATCCCTGTTTTAGATGAGGAAACTGAACCACAGGAGATCAAATGACTTATTCAAGGTCACTTAGGTAGTAGGAACCAGCCTGGATTTTATCCCAAACCATGTGCTCATAACCACCATGCCTCCCCAGAAGCACCGTCCAGGGCCTGGAACGTGGTGGATGCTCAGTGGGAATGTTTATTTCTTTTTCATTGGCCCTAAATAATATGCTAAGTGCAGGACAGGCTTAGAAAGTGGTAAATCAATAAATTGCCTTCCAACTCTAACAGACGGTGGGGACCAACTGATGGAAGAGGAAATCTCTTCCTAACTGACATGGAGAAGCTAAGCTAAATCCAAAGCTGATCTTATCTTGGATGAAGGCATATGGTGGTTGATGGGTTCATGTCCCAGGTGTAAACACCATTCACCAAATCGTCCAGTTGACAATACCTGACAAGGGTCTACTGCTGTCCACCAAGAGATGGTGATTATGTTCCCTCAGAAGCCTTATTCATCAGCTCTGACCAGGCATTTCATATTCATCTCACACTTATAAATTGATTGATTGATTAAGCATCAATCTTTTATTTATTCAACAAGTACTTGCAAAGTACCTATATGTACAAGGCCTGGTCTTAGGTGCTAGAAATGAGAAATGCATAAAATACAGATTCTTCCCGCTAGAAACACAGAGGGAGGGAGGGAGGCTGACCTCTCAGCAGGTAAGTTGTGATGTCAAGAGCTTTGAGGGCCAGGGGAGGAAGCAATTGGCTCTGCCCCACGAATTGAACAAAGACCTCACAACAGAGGGATTGTGTGGCCAAGGTCCTGAGAGATTCTATTTATTCAGCTGGAGAAGGAGTGGGAAGAACATTCTAAAATTATAAACAGAATGAACAGAAGCCTCCAGGCACACAAGGATGTCCACCTTCCAGAAGACTGAACGTTCAGAGTGGCCGCAACGACCTTGGCAACATCTCCAAAACACTGTCCCTCGATGCTCAGGATGCAAGGTCACTTAGAAAAGTTTCCAGAAGCAAACTGCATCCATTTTAAGCTCCTACTCACCAAGGTCCCTGAGAATTTTAATGTCACTCTTCTTTGCAGCTCCCTGTCCCTTGGCTTCTATCAGAACTCGGGGCCCAGAAAAGATGGAGTAGGAGAAGGGCGCCTGCTCGCTCCCTGTGGTGATCACTAATCCTTGCCAGGCCCAGGTGGTCCACAGGAAGATCGCATCTCTGCTGGCAGTCCCTGCTGGTCCCTCCGTGCCAGCGCTGCTGCAGAGACCACTATCAGGGTTTTGTTAACTTCTCCGGGGTGAGGAGAACCCAGACCTTTGGTCACAAAGTGTCACGTCTCTTCTTTGGAGGAGTGAAAGTGATGGAGAGAGAAGGTATATTAATTCGTTGCAGGTAAATCCACAGCAACAAGAAATAAGATGTGAATTGACCCAATGACCTCCTGGGGTAGAGTAGAAGTCCGTTGCACAGCTTGCTCCCTATGCAGACAGTGGTCTGGAGGGACCAGGTGAAGAGAGCTGGATCCGTCTGTGCTCAGGTTGAGTGGTCGCCTGTGACCTGGTTCGGAGTACAGAGTTGGGCCTGGGCACTGATGAGTGGCTCTGTGTCTTCTGCAGGTGTGGCAGTGTGGAGGGAGCGTGGAGGTCCTGCCCTGCTCTCGGATTGCCCACATTGAGCGAGCCCACAAGCCCTACACGGAGGACCTCACCGCCCATGTTCGCAGGAACGCCCTCAGGGTGGCTGAAGTCTGGATGGACGAATTTAAAAGCCATGTCTACATGGCATGGAACATACCCCAAGAGGTAGGAATCCCTGTAGGGATGGGTTTCTTGGGATTTGGTGGGAAAAACAAACATGGGACTAAATCTTTCTTCCCATGGTTCAACCAGAGTCTTGCTTGCCATGCTAGAGTGGGCTCTGAACCCTGAAATATACGATGCATTGTAGAAGGGGGGCTGACAATGAGGCACTAAGCCATGACTTATCCCCGCCCACGTTCCTGGGCAGCATGCTTGAGGAGGATTTCTCTCCACACCTAACTGTCCTCTTTTTTTTTTTTATCCTCACCTGAGGACATTTTCTATTTTTGTTCAGATAGAGTGGGAGAGAGAGAGAAACATGGACGTGAAAGGGACACATCGAGTGGCTGCCTCCTGTACTACCTCAACCAGGCCTGGGGACAAATTGCAACCGACTGTCCTCATTTTAAATGAGAAAATTTGACCAGGTAGCTCGAAGGTTACTTTATGTTCTTAGGTCCTCAGCTTCTTTGACATTTGGTGTTTCATGGTCCCGACTTAGAAATATACCAGTCATTACCAAAATCACAAAATGCGCCTTGATCTCCCCGTAGATCGGTTTCAAGCTTCTCCATCAAATCTTTGATCAAAGAAATAAGGAATGTCCACATGCCTTTGGGATTTCCTGAGCCACGTGGATGGAGATGGGGTACACTCCCACAGGGACCCCAGGAGCGGAAGGGAACTGTTCTGGACATTTTTAGGCTGCTTCTAACCTTCACAGAACCCCATCATCGCCTGCCACTGTCCTCTATCCCTCCGGTCACTTACGCATAAGAAGTACAAGAAAGGAAGCAATGATTCTTAGTCCATTTTTTCAGCTTTGTCATGTGACATGGAAATGACCTAGGACCACTGAATTGGAAGAAACCAACAGATGCCAGCCGCAGGGTCTCAACCTGCTTAGCAGCCTATCTGCGTGGAGACCGTTGCGTGTGTTGCCTTCTGTGCGACAGACTGTTGACCACATGACCTCCTGCTTTCCTCCCGAGACCATGGCTTCCCCTCGGGAATTCCTTAGAATGCCTCAGCTCTCTCTTCCTAATAGGGACATGGCTGACTTTTGCTTAAAGTTTCCATACGAAGGCCCTGTTCCCTGATCTCTCTCATAAGCTAGTGTTTCTCTGGCTGAGTGGGTGGGAAAGTAGGCTGGGCTATGGGTACCAGCTTCTAGGCAACCCCACCACCACTGCCAACACAGGGGGAGGGGCTCGGGTTGGGTTTCATACTCCCCCCACCAGTGAGATTTCGGCAGTTGGGAGGAAGAGTGAGAAGCCAGTGAGTACCAGTGGAGTGTGCCAGACCCTAATGAACCAGCCCCAGGATTGCATCTCTGACGGTGGGAGTGTTTCTAGGGAAACGGTGGTGCCTTCTGCACCCATCTGTGGCTGTGGGCGTTGATCACAGCATTCTGGGCAGCCTGCGGAGCCCCGCGGTGGGTGTCCTCCGACAGGAAATGGCGAAGGACACTGAGAAACTCCCAGGCGCTCTCCAGGGAGGCCGTGCAGATCCCAGGCTGTGCTAAAGGTCTGGAGTCCTGGTCCCACTCCTGCCTTCTTCTCTCTGTACCCAAAGCTGCGAACCTTCTCCCCCAACTGCAGCTGCCAGATGCCGAGATCCATAGCGAATCCAATGAGAACTGAGTGAGTTCAAAATAACTGGAAAATGATGAAACTCAGTGTCTGTCTGTGACTCCGCGGGGGAGTCATTCAAACCAGGTGAAGGGAGCGGGGGGCAGTAGCAGCGAGCACCATAAAGGCAGATGAGAGGTAGGAGTGTCCACAATCGGTCCTTAGGTGGAGAAGGAAGGGGGTCAGTGTGTTTCCTAAAAATCTGTCTCTGGATCCCCTTGTTCCCTTCTATGTCTACACTCCCTCGTATCAAACTCCTGGGAAGACTCAACACTTGTTTACTTCCCATTCACGTCTCAAGTCACATCCCGATGCTCCATCAAAGCTGCTTTTAACAGTCAGCATGGACATTGTAATGTCTTTAACTTGCAGGATCCCACCTTTTTTTTTGTAACTAGACTCCCTTGGTGCCATGATCCCACATCCCAGAATGCCCTCATCTCTCTCCAGTTGCTCCTAATTCCTTTCGGGCTCCTCTGACTTCCTCTGGATGCCCACATGTCTCCAGGATCCATCCATGGTGCTCGCATGATGCACCATCTCTCTGAGTCGTCCCATCGCTCTGCAAACACCTATCTGTTCACAACGGCCTGATGAATACCTCGAGCCTGACTTCTGCTTTTAGCTTCAGACATAACAGCTGAAGCTTCTCCTGGGTGTTCCCACAGGTGCTGAAGACTGGATCTTACCGAACTGAGGGCATCTCCCCGCCCCCAAATCTACTCTAGTTTTTATTCTTTGTCTCAGTTCATGATACCACCATCTGCCCAGACATATGAGCTTGAAACTGAGCATCGTATTTCAATCCTCCCCTTCCCAGTCCATCACCAACCCTGCTCTCCATCCCACCTCCTCTCCTGTCCGAGTTCAGGCTCGCCTCTTCCTCTGCAAGAGTCTCTACCTAGATTTCCAGGCTGAGGGTTTATCGCCCTCAAATCTACTCTTTACACTACCCCAAAATCTCTCTTTTAAAACTCCCAGTGACCATATTCTTGCCCTACGTAAACATTTTAAGTGATTCTCCAGTGTTCGACACAGATCTAAGCTTTCTCCTTTGTCCCCCTCTAGGGCCTGTTTCGGGGTGTCTGCAGATTGCCCGCACTGTGGGAACTGCCTGTAGCTCCCTGTCCATTCCCTGCTGCTTCTTGCCTCTGTGTGTTCACTAGTTCTGTCCTCTCTGCTTGGAGCTTCCCACCCAAAACCCCTTCCCCACCCTTACCAACTCTCCATCCTGGTGGACTCAGCTGCAGTGACCTCCCCCCTGGGGAGCAGCGTCAGATGCGGAGAGTGCTGCTCTTTGCACGGATGTCTCTGTCGTTGCGTCACCACCCTGTCAAAGGATGTTCTGTGATCTGAAAGTCTCTCTTTCATAGACCAGTGGCTCTCAAATCTGGCCGGACTTGAAAACCACTTGGCCTCTAGCCCCAGAGATTATGACTTAAGTGGTTTGGAAAAGGACCAGGGATCCTTTTTTTTTTTTGGAAAACTTGGGAATTCTAATGTCCACCCAGGCTGAGAACCACTGCACTAGACTGTAGGCTCCCTGAGGACAGATTGTGTTATTCATATTTATGTCCCCATGCCTAGCACAAATGGGGTACTTAGAGCTCAGTGAAACCTCATTAATGCTTATTAACAAATGAATCTGCTGGCCATGTATGTAATCTTTTTCTCCCTCAGTCAGTGGCTCCTAAAAGCAGATCTACAGAGCAACTGCATCAGAATCACTTGGAGAGCTTTTAAAAAACACTGATTCTGGGTCTCATCCTCAGAGATTCTGATTAGATGTGTAGTGGTGCTAGAATCTGTGAAAAGCTCTCCGGGTGCTGGTTTGGGTAATGCTTGTTTAGCTTATCCTGCTCATCTTTCCAAACTCACCGTTAGCATCACCTACTCCAGGAAGCCTTCCTTGACTTCTCACGTCCCTTTCCCCACCATCCCGTCTGCCCCACACTATCAGATGGACTAAGGGCCCTTCCTCTGTTGTCCCTTGACACTCTCTCTTCCTTCTATGCTTCACACTGTGTGTAGACAGTCTGTGTACTTGTCTGGACCTTCCAGACTCTCCTTTCTGGCCGACTGTGCGTAGGGCAGCACCTAACACATACGAGGCACTCAGTACAGAAGAGCTGAAAAACAAAGAAGAAAGAGGAAGCGTGGATGCTGCGTGGCCTCCATGTTTGTCCAGCTGCCCTTGAGGTGGTGACATCCCAATACTGTCCCTTCAGCTCAGTCACAGCACATCTGTTTTCTATTTGCCTAACCTTTCACGTCGCAGCTGCAAATGTACCGCTGAAACCCTCTGACTCTGCCCAGTGCCTGTCTTGAGGATTAAGTAAGTTAACATATGTAAAGACTGATCAGTGCTGGGCAAATGGAAAGCAGTAGATAAGTGTCAACGCGCACTGATGTTATCGCTTATGCCTTCTGCATTTGCACCCCAGCTTTAAAATGCCCTTGCTGGGCAGTCATCCCCTCTTGCTGCTTTCTATGCTGAGTCCTCCCGGGCTGTGCACTGAACAGAAAGACTCACCTACTCCCTTCCTGCGTCCAGTCTCCAGCTTCTAGAAGGCTAGGGGAGCCTCCAGCTCCTGCTTCCTTCTACTTCAATGGAAAATCGGTTTGTTTGCTTATCAACAAACAGAAAGTCAGCACAGCAAAGCGTTGAGATTTTCTTACTCGGGGTTCAAGAACTCCAGACCCCAAGGACAGGCCGAGTGCCGGGGCTGGCGCACCACGGAGCTCGGGCCACAGCCCGTCTTTAGGGCTGACGCCAGGAACTGTGTGTGGCTGCACACAGGCAGGGACACAGGACAGCTTTGCGTGGGGTAAGCACATTAGCATCCCAGGGCTGCCACAACAAGTCACTCCAAGCAGAGTGGCTTAAAACGACAGAAACCTATTTTCTAACCGTTCCAAAGGCCGGAAGCCCCAAGTCTAAGTGCTGTCGGGGCCTGGGAGCATCCGTTCTTGCCTGTCACAGCTCCCGGTGACTGCTGGTGTTCCTTGGCCTGCAGACACATCACTCAGTCTCCGCCTCTGCCTCTGTCCAAACCTCCCTCTCCTTTCTCTTATAAAGATTTAGGCTCGCCCACCCTGGCTGGTTTGGCTCAGCGGTTGGAGCATCGGCCTATGGACCAGAGAGTCCCGGGTTCGGTCCCCGCTAAGGGCACATACCAAAAAAATAAATAAATAAATACAAGATTTAGGCTCACCCTAAATCCAGAATGATTTTATCTCCAGGTCCCTAACTGATTATATCTACAAAGACCCTCCTTCCCAATAGGATCACATTAGGAGGGTCAGGTAGACCAAAAGGTGGGGGGTACATTCTTCAACCCACTCCCCTCAGTACTCAGCAGAGGCGCAAAGCTGTGTGTATTGTTTCCTAGTAGTACGAGCCCAGGTGAACGGCTCTGAGGGTCGCTCATCTCTCCACTTGCTCTGCAGGAGTTTCATGCAGTTGACAGTACAGCCACAGAGCAGAGGTGCTGAGCGTGGAGGGGGAAAGGCCCAGTGGTTCATAAACAGGAAGAGGAAAGGGTCATGATATCCAGGGATGTAAGCTGAGGGAAGCTCGAGTTCTTGGGCCCCTTAGAAGTCCAAGTGCAGATGGAACCCTGACAGGTCATATCTCGCCCACCTCCGAGTAGATCATCAGGAGACAGACGAACTTCTCCCTGCTCCCGAGTTTGAAAGAGAGTCTTCCCATGGGAGCCCAGGGTTTTAGGAAAAGACAGAGACCTTCCTGAGACAAGTCCTTCTGGCTTTCTCTGGTAAGAGCGGAGACACGGTGTTAATTTGTCATCATATAAAGGCAATTATAGCATCAAGGGAGAAGGCCTGGGTCCAGGTAAATAAGTTTGTGGCATAAGAGAAAATGCAGACGAGTTTAAAGGGTTAGTACTTAACAGGTCCCTTGGGGTGCGGGTGGGGGTGAGCAGGTGACATTTATTGTCAGTTGCTGTGTTCACCGCTTCATAAATAGCGTCCCAACTAAGGCTTCTAATGCAGTTGAGGTGACGTTCAGGCCAGGAGCACAGAGATAAGTCGAAGATGTCTCCTGATCGCAGGGAGCCAGGGTCCCGCAGAGAGGCCGAGCGGCAGCTGCTGGGAGGGCCCTGGGCAGCGGCAGGGACTAGACACATTATGCGTGAGGTCATCAAGAAGCACTCAACAGGCAAGTCCTCGCTGAAATTTCTCCCTGGGCCCTCAAACCTTCAGGCTGTAGCAGGTTCAATTTTTTGTATTACCTAGACTCTGGCGGGCCGAAATGAAGGTATTTCTTCTATATTTACATTTTGCTTTTACTCAGGCCCCCATCGTCTGATATCAAGCACGTGTTATGATCACATTCAGACACGCGGAGCGGCCACCTTGGTGATTTTTCCCAGACATTTCAGACTTGAACTCTACCGATTTCGCTCTCTTCCCATCCCAGTTACTTGATCCCCGGAGCTGATGCTGGAACCGTGTTCACACGGCCACCACGTGGGCCGCCGTGTCGGTGGAGGGTTGTGTTTCCGTCTTCCTCCGCCTCCGCTCTGGGCTGCTGTCCGATGGGACCCCAGGTCCCTGGCTCCCTGGTGCCATCCTCTGAGACGGCCCGAGTCCCCGTTCTCTGCTGTGGCCTCAGCTCTCTCAGCGGATCGTGGGCCCTGTTCAACAGCCAGTGTGCTGGCCCAGGGGCTCGGCGCCCTCCACTCCGCTCTGGGACCGCAGGACCTGCGGGCTCGCTCTCCCCTCACTCAAGGGCACAGTCATGCCTCCATTGCCGCTCCTGCCTGCTGCACCTTGATGGCTCGGGGAACACCTGTCTGATACACCTGGGAAGTGTGGGAGACGGGTGCTCTCGGTGCTGAGACCCCCAGCTTGAAGAGAGTCTGCTTCTCTCACAAGGACTTGCCTCGAGGAGGCAGAAGGGCAGGCGCATGCACGTCCACGGGGTGAGGTTCAAAGTGTGTCCTCCAGACCCAGGCTGATTGCGTTCACCTCTCAGCTCCTTTTATAAGTAGGGGGACTTCGGGCAAGTCACCGAGAGGTCACCAAACCTCTCTCCGTCTTAACTCCTTGTCTGTAAAACGAGGGTTATATAGCGTTACTTCACAGGTTTAAACAGAGCCATATACACAACTATAAATAAATCTAAGTAAGTAGGCGTCAACACACACGTCTCTGTCTCCGCAGAACAAAGCCTGGCACAGTTATGTAAGCCCAGCAGTCGGGATAATAGGACAGTGTTAGAACCAGCCTTATCCTGTCCTCGGCCCCTTTCCTTCCAACTCCCTCTCCCCACACACTCCATCTCAGCTTCTCTGAGGGAGGAAACACCTTCCTCAGACGGTCCTCCCCCATGTTTCACCCACAGCCAAACTGCAGCTTTTTTGTTGGTTTGATTGTTTGTCAGTTTAAACTGTAAGGATTTGGCATCTTCATTTTTCATGGCCTTGATGACGGCCCCCATCAACGCTGACCTCCTGGTTCCTAGTCCAAACGGGGGCGGCTGTGGGGTTCAGGGACCTGTAGGGAAGTGTGAATCCCTTCCTTAGACAGCCTCCAGGGACCGGGCTGGGGAGGGCTGGGGAGAGGCCGTGCCCCGGTGCCGCTGCATCTCTGCCTTTGCTTCCTCGTGTAGGACTCAGGAATCGACATCGGGGACATTACTGCAAGGAAGGCTCTGAGGAAGCAGCTGCAGTGCAAGACCTTCCGGTGGTACCTGGTCAGCGTGTACCCAGAGATGAGGATGTACTCAGACATCATCGCCTACGGGGTGGTAAGGAGCCAGGCCAGAGAGAGGCTGGGGGAGGAGGGGAAGGGCCCTGCGGTAGCCCTGTGGCCGCGAGGCTGGTTTCATAGCTGCAGGCAAGGCAGCCTTTGCTTTCACAGCCCGAACCTCCCCCGTCCCTGAGAAGAGGTGCTTAGTCTCCCCTGTACGGGCCTCAGCAATTCAGCTCAGGCCCAGACCTGCATATGCCACTGGATAAAACAAAACCTGCAGTTAGTTAAGATCACAGGGCCATACGACAAGCACCTGTTGCTCCCCAGGCGTGGGTGCCTCGGGTTCTCTCAACGAGCCTACGTGACTCCGCTCACACACACAGCTCCTGGAGGGGCTCCTGGGAAACGGGAGCCTGAGTTTGCTGGATGTGAGGCTGTTTTAGTTCTGCTGGTCGACTGGCAGAGAGCAGTCCCCCTGAGGGAGGCAGCAGGATGGAGGGACGGAGCGCAGGGTTTGGATCCAGGCAGACCTGGCTCCAGGCAAATGTCTTCATGTCTATGGGCCTCAGTTTTGTCCTTTGGTAAAGGGGTAGAAGAAAGTCTAAGATATATAAATGTATTCTCTATCTAAGGTTAAAATACTTTGACTGTGATAAACTCTCCTATTCTTCCAATATCCCCGGGACCATAAAATTCTTACGGTATTTTAAGTGATACCTGATTGATCTGGGGATATCACACCTAGTTTTTGCTGATTGAACAACATATAGTTTTTCACTGACAGTTAAGCCTTCACACGACCCCTGGGGCTACCTACCTCACCCCGTGTTACAGCTGAGGAAACAGAGAGGCAAAGTGACTTGCCCATGGTTACACAGGTAATCAGTAGTAACACTGAGTCTAAAGCCTCCGCTACTGGTATTAGTCCAAGTCCTTCCTTTGGAGAGTGACCCTTCACACCTTTCTTGATATCCCAGCATGAAAAGTTGAAGAACTAAGGCCTCTTCCTTTGATGACCTGTGGTCAGAACTGAGTTGAAGGTCTGCCTCAGCGGGGACATACTGGGCAGAGCATCTGCCTGGCAGGGAAGAATCCTGCGGAAGAATTGGCCTCGGTGTGCTCTGTGGACCTCCCAACTCTACCATCCTTGGATGCTAACGGAAACAGAGCCCAGGTCCCAGGAACGCCTCCTCCCTCCTCCTGCAGGGCCTCTGTTGTCCTGGAGACCAGCCTGTAGGAGGGGGTCGTATCCTCCTGCAAGTGTCCCCATGGCGGGGTTGACATGTCCTCAGAGAACCGCCAGTGGCCTCCTGCCTCTCCACTTCTCGGGCTGGTTTAATGCGAAGGTCAGAAAACCCCTCGGCTGGGGCTGCCCAGCATTTACCTGAGACTCCAGGTGTGTCATCACCATGGAAACACATCAGACCGTGAGGTGCCCTTTAGTCCCACCCCCCTTCCCAGAACCATTCTGAGGACGCAGTTGCTACCGGTGCCCCCGCATGGCCCACGCCGAGTTGTGTGCTGCTTGGCCATTGTTGGACCCAACCCAAAAAGACAGTTCGGCAAATGTGACTCCAGAGAAACTACTGGCCCCAGATCTCCGTGAGCCAAGGCAAGCATCTGGATTCACGTTCTCACCAAGCTGTCATTTGTAGCCGAACAGTATTAGGCAAACGCAGCCAAAGGTGCAGGGGAAGCAGAAACAGTGGGGGTGTATGTAACGTGGCCATTGCAGTTCTGGGTCTTGGCCAAAGGCATTCCTGTCTTCCAAGCAAAGGGTCCCCTCTCACAAACATACAGCAGGTTGACCATGGAGCCCTCTCGTTGCCACACCCGGTTCTTGGGGTGACGGAGGTCTCCGACCCCCTGCATGTTCATCTGCCAGCCTCCCCCGACTTCTGCCTCTTCCATGGCTGGGCTTTGACATGAGCAAGCGTGTCTGCAGGTCAGCAGGTCTCACTAATGGTTGCAGTGCTGTCCGAGGGTGGGAGAAGTCAGGATGTGTGTGTATGTGCTCCACCCACACAGGCCAGCCAAGCAGTTGGTTTATCACAGAGGATTTGCTGCGTAGACGCTTCTGGGGCCTGCCTAGGGAGCTGGCACACGTTCCTATTTCTTCAGCACCTCTCAACGACAAGTTCGAGATGGAGCTGTTATCACCCAGTAAAGGAAAGGAAGATCAAGAGAATTTGACTCTGCTCCCTGTCCCCTGTCAAGAACGGGGTATTCATAAACCACACGTGCACCTCCGGTTACCTGGTTCATTTCACATCCCTTAATTGGGGTTATTGCCCTCCTGCCACAACCCGTCAGGACTATCAAAGCTCAGCCGCCGCCTGTTGCTGGCCTTCCCCAGTAGAAGACCGCCTGTGGTGCATTGCCCTGGTCTCCCCCTGGAGGTCCACATGCTGTTTCAAATGGAGTGCTTTGATTGCTAAGAAAAGCTGTTTAAGTTAAGGTGGGTGAAGATACCACAAACTCTCTTATGGACACAGGAATTGAGGTCGAGCTGGGACCACGAAAACCACAGCAGGGGCCGGATGATCTCTCTCGTCTCGAATTCTGTCTGCCTCATGCTTCATCTCCTCCTTGAGCACAGCTGGATTTCTCTGCTCGCATCTGGCCCAACAGATCCCCACACCCCATCTAAGTGGCCTTATAATTCTAGTGGCCACCACATTTGTCCTGTTGATTGTCTTGTGCCTGTCGGTGAGGGGAAGAGTTACTTCTCTCTTCTCCTGCTCCCAGCCTGGCCCTCTTCTCTCTTATTCACCTTCCAAACCCCCTGTGCGGAGAATTCCAGCTATCTGGGCCTCCACTGGGCCCTGGCCAACCACTGCTGCGCTAGCATGTTGCCCACCTCCCCCAACGCTCAAGAGCAAACGCTTCTATCCAAGGACCTCTGCAGGCCATTATACCACTCCCGTGGAAGTGGGGTGGAAAGTCTAGCCACTGTGTGTGCATGCATGTGTGTCTCTCATTTTTACCTGCCCTGATGCAGCTCCCCAGACCCAGCTTGCTGTTTAGCATGTCCGAGCTTCTCCTTCAAAGGGGCTCATGGTAACCTCAGCACCTCTAGTCAAAGTCAAAGCCGATGCTTGTTGGTTTTCACAGTATTCAAGGGGCCTTGGGCTGGTTATGGAAATGGAGCCTGTCTCCATGGAAAGCTTGTTTCTCCTGATTTAATGCATTTGTTTCTCTGTTCCTTTCTCTTTGGTGTGTTCGGTCCTGCCCCGCTGTTCAGCTGCAGAACTCTCTGAAGACCGATTTGTGTCTTGATCAGGGTCCAGACACGGAGAACGTTCCCATTGTGTATATCTGCCATGGAATGACGCCCCAGGTAAGTGCTCTGACAGCTCCCTGCACGGGGTGTGCACATGTGTGTCTGCGGGGCAGGATGGTTAAGCTCTGTCCTGGCCACTCTGGGTCCAGGGCCCCAGAGGCTTCTGTTAGGAAGTGTCCTCATGAGCTTCAAAGGAGAGTCACCTGCCTTGCCAGGAGGGAGACTGGGGAGCGGATGCTAGGAAGCCTGATCCTCTGGTGTGGAGCGCAAGGAGGCAACACATTTCTAAGAGGACACCTGCTGCCTCTGGGGAGACCAGGAGTGAGTCACAGTCCTGGGTCTGGCAGTCATGCCCTTTCCTAGCCGGAGGGAACCCAGGACTCCCCAAACTCTACGACACCTGTGGGTCCCTTCAGAGGGCCTTCAGGCTCTAGCCTTTATGCATAGCCATGAGCCTCTTTCTAGCCTTAGGACATGCTCCTGGTGGACAGTGAAAAGCAGCTACCAGGAAAATTAGAAGAATTCCCCATTCTTAGCCTGGGTTTCAGATATCCAAAGGATGTCAAGGACGCAGGCAAGAGAAATGGTTTATTGCAATGGACAGTCACTGACCAAGAACACCATAGACTAACTGTTCCCACTTGACACCGTTTTCGGAGTCTACTTATCTTACCTCCAGAAGTGCACAATGATTTTTTTAAAAGATACTTTAGTATAGAAGATATGTATATTTGTGAAATTCCAAGGTAGTGTTTAAAAGAGTGGTTACCTTCCTAAACACACAACTGGAGGACACGATGACGTGTGTGTCCCCCGGGGCTCTGCTGGCACTTCCCTGAGACTGTCCCCTGTTCTCTCCACCGCCGCATTGGTGTTGCTGCTGAGCTGCTGTGACATCACTGACTGGCCAGTCGCAGGTCAGCGTGTCACACTGTCCTCACACCACGCACTACGGCAACTCATTCTTCTTTATTACAGTGATGTGACTTTTATAATGGGTGACTACTTTTATGTAAACCCTGTATCAACATGTAACATAACACACAGAAAATAGGCAAATTATAAACATACAGATTAACATATTTTCATAGCAAACATACGCATGTAACCAGCACCCAGATCAAGAAAAAGGGCATTGTCGTCTGATTTTGAATTTTACATACACAGAATATAGGGTATGCTTTGTCATATTGGCTTCTTCCTTCCATCGTTATATTTGTAAAGTTCATCTATGCTGTTCCATGTAGTTGTAATTAGTTCGTTTTTATTGCTACCTAGTAATCTATTTTATGAATATACCATACTCGCTGTATTCTACTGCCGATGGACACGTGGGCGGTTGGCAGTGCGGGGGTATCCTGAATGCTGCTGCTGTGATCATCTTCGTTTATGTCTGTTGATGCACATAGACAGTCTTTCTCTTGTGTTTACACCTCGGAGTTGAATCACTGGGTCACAGGGTGACGTAGGCTCACTTTTAGTAGACCTGCGGGTGTCAGTCTGCTGGAGTTGCGGTAACAGAAACCCATGGCTGGGCGGCTTAAACAGAAATGTATTTTCTCCGAGTTCTGGATGCTGGGGGTTCTGATCAAAGTGCCAGCTGATTCGATGTCTGGTGAGAACCTTTCTGGCTTGCAGAGGGTCACCTTCTCTGTGGGCCCTCATGTGGCAAGGAGAGAGAGAATAAGTGAGCTCTCTGGTGTCACTTCTTAAAGGGACACTAATCCTATCAGAGCAGTGACTTCATTTCACCTTAACTTGAAGATTTGGAAAATTCTCAGCCTATCCATATTGCAAAAAAAAAAGAAAGAAAGCTTGTTCTAAAGAGAACACTAAAAGTGCGACTGAACACCCAGTTGACTACGAGATCGTGGTGGGACTCGTGGACTTGATCGGCCGTCTCGGCAGCAGAAGCCGATGGAGACGGGCTACACCAGCAGAAACGCTGGCAGTTGGCATTAAGGAGACAATGAGACCGACTGAAGGAAGGCGTTTGGACTCGTGGCGTCTGTGAGATGGCACCGTAGAGCTGTTCGGTTGTGAACGGGCTCTGTTCTGAGGAAAGGGGGAGGGCGGAGCTGAAGGCATGCAGAGATTGTCACCACTCTGCCACCCCACCACGGGTCCGAGGGTGAGGCTGCTTCCTGAAGCGGTGGGCCCGCCGCTCTCATTTCAGTGGGCCGGGGGCCCTGCCAGGTGCCCCTGGGTGGGGCCAAAGCAGCGAGAGGAGACCTTGGGCAGGACCAGCCTCGAGAGCCAAAGGGGTGGGCAGCCCTGCAGAGCCATGGGCATGATGCTGCCCCCTCCCCCCGGGGCCTGGAGGGCGAGCACTGAGTCAGAGAGGATCATTCCGGAGCCTTAAAATCATGGAATTTGCCTTGCTGGCTTTGGGACTTGCCTGGGACCCATCAACCCTTTCTTCCTTCTAGTCTCTCTCTTCTGGAATGTGAGCATCAAGCCGGTGCCTGCCCCACCATCATACGTTGGCAGCACATAACGTGCTGCATTTTACAGGTTCTTAGCTGAAGAGAAATTCTGCCCCCGGATGAATCATACCTTAAGTTGTACGCGTTCTGATTTAGAAGCTCTGTGGACCGGAGACTGTGGACTTGATGCTGGCATGAGTTAAGACCTTGGTGGCTGCTGGGATGAAATGAATGTATTTTGCATGGGAGAAGGAGATGAATTTGGGGGGTGAGGGGCCAAGAGCAGAATTCTGTGGGCTGAATTGTGTCACCCCAAAAATTCATATGTTGACGTGCTCACTCATCCTGCCTGTATTTGGAGCAAGGACGTAACACAGGATATACAAGGTCGTAAAGGTGGAGCCCCAATCCTTTAGGACCGGGGTCCTTGGAAGAAGAGACACCGAGGGCTCGGTCAGTCTCTGCCACGTGGGAACAGAGCCAGGAGGCTGCCGTTAGTGACCAGGGGGAGAGCTCTTGGCAGACTACCTGGGCCAGCCCCTTGATCTTGGACTCCCTAGAACCGTGTGAAAATAAATGTCTGTTGTTTAGGCCACCCCACCTGTGGGACTTTGTTATGACAGCCAGAGCCAACTAACATACTTCAGTTTTCCAAGTTAGCTGTATCGATTTCACTCCTACCACCCACATATTAGAGTTCTGCTTGTTTTACAGCCTTGCCAACATTTGGCATTACCTGGTTTTTAAAATTATAGACATTGTAGTGAGTGCGTAGCGGGATCACACTGCGGTTTTAATTTGCATTTCTCTGATGCCTGATGCAGCCAGGCCCCTAAATGTTTAGCTCAGAACATCCCACGTTGTTCTTGAGTGTGGATCAAGGTAGCCAGGTCACAGGTAGTTTGGTCTTTTTGTAAATGCCCTCTCTGCTTTTCAATACTTGTGATCCAGGAGACGATGGGGGAGCCTGCTTTTAACAAATCTGCGTGGAAATCTGCAGGGTGGGTGCTTATCTGGAACCCTGGACAAATGATGGCTGTTTCCCCCGAGGCACAATGGGCGCCTGCCCGCTGCAAATGGTTCGCTATGGGACAGTCTGTGTTACGGTTAAGAGCACAAATTCTGGAGCCAGATTATCTGACTACAAGTGTCAGCTTTCTAGGTGTATAACCTTGGGCAGGTTTTTCAATCTGGGCCTATTTTCTTATTTATAAGATGTGGATCACTAATGGTACATACCATAAAGGTTGTTGTGAGGATTTAATACACGTAAAATGTTTAAAATTGTGCTTGGCATATAGTAAGAACTCAGTAAATGTTAGCTATTAGTATCGCTACAGTGATAATACTAATCCTGCTCCTTAAGCCTTGCCCGTTACAAATACCCTGAAGGTTGTAGCTCCAATCCCTCTGGACTGACTTTCCTTGACCTCGTGTGCCGTGTGCCATGTGCCACGGGTTTCTTCCCTGGGCAAAGCCTACCAATAGTCTGGCATCACTGAGTTGCTGTGGCAGCAAAAACACAGTGGAGTAGGAGGATGGGCAGTGGGCAGGGCACCAGGAAGTCAGAGTCCTAGGTTTCATCTTGCCACACATCTGTGATGTCACCTAACTGTCTCTGGGCCTTTCTTTAGTTTTGCTCTTTCACTGAGGTATAATTTTACTCTAACCTGCAAAGTGTATGGCTCAATGAGGTCCTACGTGTGGGGACACTGTACCGTCACCAGCCAGGTGAAGCCCCTTTGCCTCAGGCTTCCTCCTTCCCCCTCTGGGTCGGCGCCTCCACCCAAAGGGAACAGCAGCCCTCGTCTCCAGCACCGTGGATCCGTCTTGTCTGGCCTGTCTTCTCCTTGGCAGGCAAGGAAGCCGGACTGGCCATCTCCAGGCCCAGCTCTGCCAGCCTGCCAGTCCGCTTAGCTCGAATTCTGTGCTTCTGGAATGCGCTTGGCCTGGGATTCTGTGGTTCGTCCTGTGCTTGCCAGGAAGACGGGAGCTGCCTTGCCGCGGTGCTTTGTAAATGAGTGTCTTGATGTGAGCTGTAGCAAGTCTGAAAGACGTGGTCCTCAAAACCACAGCACCCTGATGTAGCTGGCTGTCCAGGGAACACCAGGCCCTCTCCCACCGGGCCCACAGCTGTCAGTGCCAGAGTAAGGAGGCTCAGAGCAGACGCATCTCCCGGAACAGAGAGGTCCAGGAACTCTGCTGTGACAGCCATTTGTTGAGTCTGGCCTGCCCAGTGAGCTGGGAGAGCCAAAGAGGGCTGGTCATACTGGGGACACTGCGTGTGCTTGGCCAGGGTTCGTCCATCCCCTGTATCATTTCCTAGGACAGCCCTAACAGAGGACCACAGACCGGGTGGCTTGAACAGCAGAAATTCATTGTCTCGGTGCTGGAGGCTAGAAATCCAAGATTGGCGCATCGGGGGGGCCTGATCCCTCTGAGGCACCAGGCAAGGATCTGCTCCTCGTCACTCCCACTTCACGTGGCGGTTGCGCCCTGTGAGCCCGTGTGTCCAGCCCCCTTTCCACAGGGTGCCGGTCAGACTGGACCAGAGGCTTACCTTGGCCGGTGTGACCTCGTCCTAACTCCACTAGCGACACCTGTAACAACCCTGTTTCCAAATAAGGTCAC